AAAACTAAGCTAAAGTCAAAATGGATTAAAGATCTAAATATTAAAACAGAGGCACTAAATCTCCTGGAAGAGAAAGTAGGAGGGACTCTTGAAAACATAGGGGTAAGCAAAGAGTTCATGAACAAAAATCAAACTGCACAGGTAACTCTTGAAAGAATTAACAACTGGGACCTCCTCTTATTGAGAAGCTTTTGCACGTCAAAAGATATTACCAACAGAGTGAAAAGACAACCCACAAATTGGGAAAAAAAATTTTAATAAGTACTCAGACAAAGGTCTGCTCTCCAGAATTTATAAAGAAATAAAAAACATTAGGGCCCCAAAATTTAAAGACCCAATTCAGAAATGGGCATCTGAGATGAACACATACTTCTCAGAGGAAGAAATTCTAGAAGCTAAGAAATAAATGAAAAAAATGTTCCACATCACTAGTCATCCATGAAATGCAAATTAAAACAATAGTGAGATACTATCTCACCCCAGAAAGAATGGCTATCATAAAAAAAATCAACCAACAACAAATGTTCAAGAGACTATAGGGAAAAAGGAACACTTTTCCACTGCTGGTGGGAATGTAGACTGGTACAAGCACCATGGAAATCAGCGTGGAGACTCCTTAAAAAACTAGGACTGGAAATCCCATTCAAACCAGCTATCCCCCTACTGGAAATTTTCCCAGAGAACTTCAAACGTCATATCATAGTGATATATGTGCACCTATGTTTATAGTAGCACAATTTGTGATAGCCAAATCTTAGAAGCAACCAAAACACCCATCACCTGAGGAATGGATGAAAAAGATGTGGCATTTTTAGACAATGGAGTATAACTCAGCTACAAAGAATAATAAACTCGAAGGCTTCATATATAAGTGGATGCCACTTGAAGATATATTCATAAGTGAAATAAACCAGACACATGTGTAAATATTGTATAGTCTCCCTAGTGTAAGAACTCAAAAGAAGAAATAAAAATTGAGAGATATAACATGACTAAATTGAAAGCAAGAACCTAAGGATTAGACAATGAAGAGAGGGCAAGGAGAAAAGCTAGAAAACATGGCAGGGGCAACACCATACATTTATATACACAAGATGGTTAGGCAATGATCCTGAGAATCTCCATCAGGTTTTTGAAACTAGCAGTTAATTGGTAGGATTCTCACCCTGACTAACTACATATGCTGATACCTGCGAACTAAGCAACTGCACTGAAGATAGCAATGTGCAGTACTAGGGCCATGCTTGGAATCCCTGTCATTCTGGTCTTCTAAAAGCATATTGCTTCTAATATCGTATCAGCTACTGCTATATTCTCTCTCAAGTAAATGTTTATTAAAAAAAAAAAAGGTAATAAATGAAAATGAGAGACAAGAAAAAAATATCATAGGACTGTCCTGCTACAATGTTGTATATGGTTAGATTTCTAAATTTCTGTGTCAAAATTTGTAATTGTTTATTTCTATTTTTTTAATCTTTTTTCATTTTTTTTCACATTCTGTACAGATTTAAAGTTTAGCATATCAACAATTGACAGACAGCTTTCTGCTGGTGGACACCACGGAAGACGCATCATCAGGCTCTCTTCCGACTGCCGTCATGTCTAAGTCAGAGTCTCCCAAGGAGCCCAAGCAGCTACAGAAGCTCTTCATCGGAGGGCTGAGCTTTGAAACAACTGATGAGAGTCTGAGGAGCCATTTTGAGCAATGGGGAACACTCACAGACTGCGTGGTAATGAGAGACCCGAACACCAAGCGTTCCAGGGGTTTTGGGTTTGTCCCTTATGCTGCTGTGGGGGAGGTGGATGCAGCCATGAATGCAAGGCCACACAAAGTAGACGGAAGAGTTGTGGAACCAAAGAGAGCTGTGTCAAGATAAGATTCTCAAAGACCAGGTGCCCACTTAACGATGAAGAAGATCTTTGTTGGTGGCATTAAAGAAGATACTGAAGAACATCACTTACGAGATTATTTTGAACAATATGGAAAAATCAAAGTGATTAAAATTATGACTGACCGAGGCAGTGGAAAAAAGAGAGGCTTTGCTTTTGTAACCTTTGATGACAATGACTCTGTGAATAAGACTGTCATTCAAAAATACCACACTGTGATCGGCCACAACTGTGAAGTGAGGAAAGCCCTGTCCAAGCAGGAGATGGCTAGTGCTTCATCTAGCCAAAGAGGTCGAAGTGGTTCTGGAAACTTTGGTGGTGGTTGTGGAGGAGGTTTTGGTGGCAATGACAGTTTCGGTCGTGGAGGAAACTTCAGTGGTCGAGGTGGCTTTGGTGGCAGCCGTGGTGGAGGTGGATATGGTGGCAGTGGAGATGGCTACAATGGATTTGGTAATGATG